GGGGGGGGGGTGGTCTGAATTGAGCGATCAATTATTAGACCCGGACGTCCCAACACTTGCTTCGCAAGACAAACTCAAGGTATCCCCTAAAGGGCTACCTTTCGTGATTTCATTCACATGCACTCTGTCTGAATGTTCAAGAGGGTTTCAACTATCCTGAAATCATGAGAGGCTCACGAAGACATTCTCCAGGAGAGAATTGAATTAAGAGGCTCACGAAGACGTTCCCCAGGAGAGAATTCACGTGGTTCACAAAACAAACTCTAGGTATGTAATGGTATGTATCCCCTTTAAAAAAAAAACCTTTCGTGATTAGAATTTCATATGCACTCTTTCTGAATGTTCAAGAGGGTTTCAACTATCCTGAAATCATGAGAGGCTCACGAAGACGTTCTCCAGCGGAGAATTGAATAGAGGCTCACGAAGACGTTCCCCAGGAGAGAATTGACGTGGTTTACAAAAAAAGACTCTAGGTATGTATACCCTCGGGGAACACCTTTCGTGATTAGAATTTCAGATGCACTCTTTCTGAATGTTCAAGAGGGTTTCAACTATCCTGAAATCATGAGAGGCTCACGAAGACGTTTTTTGAGGAGAGAATTGAATTTAGAGGGGGGGCTTATATGCTCTCGAAATGTTCCAAAAGAATCTTAGGAAAACAAACTTGCCCCATGGCTCAGATCATCGGTGAGCATTGAATCGGAACATCATAGGATTTGAACTATCCTGAAACCATAAGAGGCTCACGAAGACGTTCCCCAGGAGAGAATTGACGTGATTCACAAACCAAACTCTAGGTATGTATCCCCTCGGGGAACACCTTTCGTGATTAGAATTTCATATTCACTCTTTCTGAATGTTCAAGAGGGTTTCAACTATCCTGAAATCATGAGAGGCTCACGAAGACGTTCTCCAGGAGAGAATGGAATTTTAACAAGAACACATTTCGTAATTAGAATTTCATATGCACTCTTTCTGAATGTTCAAGAGGGTTTCAACTATCCTGAAATCATGAGAGGCTCACGAAGACGTTCTCCAGGAGAGAAT